AATTACTTTTTGGACATTCTTCATATGTTCAGCAGCTTTGTTTTTCTTTTTGCTGGTGTGTATCTTATTTATCCAGTCAAGCAGTAAAATAATCAAAGAATATTTCATTTATTTTAAAATGTCTTTCTATTAGATATGCAAAAATAAATATATATTATTTAGATATTGAATAATAATTAACTTACTGCCACAAGTATTATGTTGGAACAAAATCAATATATTTGTATTGATACATTTCCGTTACCTTGAAGGTGTTCCTTTAGCATATGCAGATATCTAATACTTGAAAGTCCTAAATCTCATCTCTCAGATGTTGTTTGAATTCGTTTGTCTTTTAAAAGGTACTAAAGAAGAATAAATGCAAATTTTGTGCCATTTTGTTTTCTGAGTACAAGCTCAGTCATAGCACATCTATAGCAATCCACAGCAACAAGGCTTGAGGACTGAAGTCAGCTTCAGAACTGAGTGTATGTCATTGTTTTCACAAATTCATTCCTGGTGATCAGAATATTTAAGTTGAGACTAGTTGTGGAAACAAGTCATCCCTCTAGAATGAAATATTGATTTTAGCCATGAAGACTCATCCAGAAAATAAGCATTCAGCCACTGGGAGCAAAGCTGGAAATAACTCAGACAAATCAGAAGATATCTGACATAAATTGGTAAAGTGAAGAAAATGCAGAAGTGGGTAACCCAGGATTTAATTAATGATCAGCAACTTGCATGGTTTAATACTTGCTTCAGTTTACTTGTTCGTTTAAAAAATGACTCTTGATGTGCTTATTATTGTGATTGGTGGTTTGAAACATGATATTGTTTGGGCTGACAATTTTGTTCAAACAACATTTTTTCCCAAAAAGAAATTTTCACCCCAAAAAGATCATCCTATTTATAAGAGAGTAATCCATTATAGGAGGCATGGTGGAGTAAGGAATAGCAGCTTGGATTGAGGAATCAAAGAGAAGAGTTCCAATTCCAGTTAAATCCATTACATTCACTTACGTGCTAACACTCTTGGGAAAGGTATGAATCCTCCTCTTCTCCCCCCAGCTAAATAGCAGGATAGGCCTGGTTCTATAGCCGTGGATGGCAACTGGTCTTACCACAGAAAGAAATGGCAACCCACTGCAGGAAAAAATCTGCCCCATCAGTCATTTATTGAAAGATACATGATTACCTAAGCATGTGTCATGCATGGCACTATATTAATGATAATCCATTACAGTTTCTTACAATCTGGTCAGATCATCATGGCAGAGTTTCTATTGTTATGATTTATTCAACTTATACAGTGAAGTGATTCTGAAAGAATTAGAAGTCCTACCAGGATTCATTATTGGTGGCCACAATCATAACAACATATGATATTCAGATGACACAGTGTTGATAGCAAACACAGAAAGGAAAATACAAGAACTCCTATAGAAGGTAGTGAAAGAAAGTGTGAAGAAAGGACTAAACCTCAAAAAGACAGAATGCATGGTTGTTAGCAAAAGGAACTGCTAATATGCAGAAAACATTCATTATATACAAAAAAGAGAGTAATGAATTGTTACATAATATCAGTCCTCTTGTATGACAGTGAATGTTGGACAATCTCCGCATAGATGAAGAAGAGACTTGAAGCAACAGAAATATGGTTCTACAGAAGGATGCTGAGAATACTATAAACCAAACATCTGAGCAACAACCAAGTTTTAGAGAAAATGGAAGCAAAAAGGGCATTTATACTTAGAATCAGAAAGAGAGATTTGAAATTTCTGTGGTACATAATGAGGAAAGTGGGTTTGGAAAATTTTATACTGATAGGGCATATTGAAATCAAGAGGGACAACACATAACCTACCTAGTGGGCTTGTGTAAATGGATGGTAGAGCAAAAAGGCAAAATTTATTAAGATTTACAAAGGAGAGAAAACTGTGGAGAGCCATGATCACAATTTCCTGGCCTTCATAGCACTTAATAAACTTTGACCTTTTATTATTTCTCCTAAATAACTGATCATCAATGTAAAATCAATTATAGTTATGTGCCATGTGTAATACATGTTTAGGCGATCATGTATCTTTCAATACATGACTGACAAAGCAGATTTTCCCGCAGTAGGTTACCATTTCTTTCTGTCGTAGACCAGTTGCCATCCAAGACTATAGAACCAAGTCTGTCCTGCTATTTATCCATAGCTGGGATGGGGAGAAGAAGAGGATTCATACCTTTCCCAAGGGTATTAGCACATAAGTGAATATAATGGATTTGACCGGAATTTGAACTCGACTCTCTCAATTACTCCACCCTGCCTCTAATTGAAAATAGTGACCATTATTTAATATTTGTTGGGTGTGTGGGCAGTAAAATGGTTAGCAGCTAAAAACGAGGAACTGATATGATGAGTTCAAATCCCAATTCAGTTTTTTTATATTAAGTCTAATAGTCACTAGCTTACTTGATCTCAATAAAACATTTTCTTTTGTTCTCTAAATTGTGAATGTTATGTCCAAATAAAAATGATTTCATCAATAGAATCCTTGAATTATACAGTCTTGTACAAATAAACATGAGAAGTGTATAAATAAGTGTATAAGAAGTGTATAAATAAGTGTATAAGAAATGTATAAATCTCTCCCCCACTCCAGCTATAAGTTAAATAATAGTGTGCACTGGCATCTTCATCTATGGTTAGCAAAAAGTCTAAGAGAAGAAAATTCTGAATTCAAAATCAGTTGTGCATGGGGTTAGAACTCCCATTCCATGAAAAAGCTACTTGTTATTGAAATTGCAACAGTAATACATACAATTTTGAGGCTGTGACTCATCACAATTATAGATTGTACAGGACTTGTAAGAGAGAAATTTCATATTTGTAGACAATTAAAATTATTTTTGAAATACTTCAAAAGTATCCTTAATGAATATTTGAGATCTTTATGGTGAATGACAAAATTTTTATGAGAAAGAAATTAACAAATTTTACATGATGGTCAAACTTTCAGCTTAAGCTTAAAAAGAAATTAGTTTAATTATTTTTGAAACTAAACCCATAAACATTTATAAATTCCAATGTTATAAAAATATCCTTCCACTTAGTAATAAAATTCACTTTCCAACTTGGATAAAAACTTACATGCTTTCATAAAATATGCACCTAAAAATGGATATTTGATGGCAAATATTTTCTGTCAAAGTGACAAGGGATATAACAGATGTCTCTGTCTGGTTAATCTAGGAGTTGACTGTTGATGCAATCACAATACTATTTCTTTCTTTCTGTCTGAATTTCTAAAATAAGGAATTATTATTTCCAATATTAGATTCAGACTATTATCCTGACCTTTGTTGTTATTATCACAATGTTTCAGTGACTGTTCCGTCCAGTCTTCATCTGGTGATTGTCAACCCAAATAACCTTCAGTGAATTTTGAACCCTTTATTTAATCTTTGGGGCTAGATTTTTCTCATTCAACTGAACTGAGTTCTAGGGCTATATTGTCTAGTTTTTATTAAGTACTGTTCAGCTATGGTGCATCCTGTTTCCACTGAGTATAAGTCTGCCCAACTCAAGGATTGAACTCACAATTACAATGTGTTCAAATTCATGAACCAACACTTTAATCTATCAAGCATGATAGCAACAATGCCATAGTCAAGATAGCTCTTAGAAGGAGACCATAGAGCGAAAATAAGTTTTCTACCTTTTCTAAAAGAATTATTGTAAAAGTGAAGAGTATAGTCCCAAATAAACTTGTAACCCAATTTAATTATTCAAGGTTAAAGACTATTGTACAAATTCACCCTTCAAAATTTGACTAAATCATTATCACTGAACACAAGTCCCTGAGTGCCTAAGAGATGCTCACCACTATGTCATTCTAGAACTATCCATACCAGAGTTTGTTATATACTTTGATCTAGACTGAAATTAATATTCCAACTGGATGACAAAATCAAAGAAGAACTCTTTGATTAATCTAGCCAAGATAGATTAGGATTTAAGCCACATTATCCTATAGAAGATTGCAAATCCATTTGATGTGGAAAGGCTATTTAATAACACATGCAGAATGGAAGAATCAGCTGTTTTCATTAACAACCTAAGCACTTTCATAATTAATATATAAGTTCTGTTAACCATATGCACCAACTGATCATGGCTTACAAATTCAACTTTAAGCAGCAAAGCGGGCTAAGGAATTTACAGATGTCAGGTTTTAGATAACACAAACGTGTTTAGCACAGGTAGGAATGAGTTCTGATGGCTGATAACACACACACACACACACACACACACACACACACACACACATATATATATATATATATATATATATATACTTGCATAAAAGCTGCCTTTTTGGGTGGCATTTAAACTATATCCTGTGTAGGGCTCTTGATTAGGCCTTCATCATAATAGGTAGGGAGGAGTAGATAAACTCCAGAATAACTCAAAATTGATCTCTGCATTTAAGTATTGCATTAATATTTAAGCTTACCTGCTGCCACTTAATTTAAAGACAATTTGATGTACATAGGTACTTATTTCCATACAAACAATTATTTTTATTTCATTTGTGACATTCACTGGATTCTGTGATTAATTTTGATTATTTCCAAATTTATTTCCAATTTGTAAAAATAGTTAACATACAAAAAAATTTCTTGCAAAAAATCATGTAAAAAAATCACCAAAAACAATTGCAGTAACGAAAACTTGGGAATCCAAAATTTCAGGATTGCAAGTCCAAATCCCACTGGGAAGGTTTTTACTTGGCTCATGGAGTTGGCCTGATTCTAAAATGGTATGATATGTTGGGCTACGGACACTAGCTGTAAAATTGAAAAAGTGTAACTCAGTGACACACTGCCATTCGTATTTATTATATATATATATATATATATATATATATATATATATGTGTGTGTGTGTGTGTGTGTGTGTGTTTGTGTGTGTGTGTAATGGATTATCAACCAGAAGTTAAGCATAAGAGACACCCATATACACTTGGATGAGAAGGAATCTCTTTGTGAAACACTCCATAGAGTTTAAAGAAAAACCATTCACTTTATTTTCTCTTTTTTCTTCATTATCTCTCCTTAACTTTCCTTTTCATCTTTCCTCTCTCTCTGCCTCTCTTTCTTTCTCTCTCTCTTTCACTTACCACTTCATATTCACTCTCACTTTCCTCTTTATATTCTTGCTTACTTTCCTTTATTTATTCACTTATTTCTACTGTTTTCTGTATCTTCTCAAAGTGCTCTTTCTCTCTCTCCCTCTCTCTCTCCCTCTCTCTCTCCCTCTCTCTCTCTCTCTCTCTCTCTATGTTCATCACTTACTCATTTCTCCCTCACACAGACTTCCCTTTCCAGTCTTGATAGAGTCCAAAACTATCTCCACATCCTTGTGGGTGATGAAATATTATTCATCCAACACCCTCTTTCCAACAGATGAAACATTGCAAAAATCTCACTACTTCCATCAAAAGTATTCAGATGAACTACATTCGTTAATTCCACCAGTTCTAACCTTTATACCTATGATTTGCCATTGCACACAATTTGTAGCTAACCATACTCATTCCCATCATATTTCAATACTGAGATGTAAGTTCTGTGCTAGCAGCTGCTTTTTTGTGGAATGCTTCCCTTGCATATCTCTTACTCTCTAACATTCTACCTTGAGTGGCTCTTGAGCATTGCACATGGTGAACATTTATTGTAAACAAATTTTTTTCCTCTTCTTTGTCCAATATTCTTCTTTACTATTGTCTCTCTTTTCCTCTACATAGCTATCTCTCTTCCTCTGTCTCCCTTTCAGTCTTTCTTTCTGTTTCTCCCTCTCTCAATCTCTCCATTCCTCACCTTTTCACTCTCATTATTGTTTTGTTCCTGGCATATCTTCTTCAACCATTTTACTAGTCTCTCTCTCTCTCTCTCTCTCTCTCTGTCCTGTGCTATAGACAGGTTGGTAAAAAGACTATTGGACATATGATACTTCTTTTTTGTTTCAGAGATTACCCCCCCACAACAACTCCCCTTTCACCCCATCGGCTCCAGGCAAACCAATATGCTTTACATCTGCCCTTTTGATACTGAAGCTTTGAAAGACATCGTCACATCAAAACATCAAACGAGCTTAGTTAATGATTTCCATTTGGTATGAAGGCAGACACGCTCTACACAATGACAGCTTTGTCGGCAACTAAGAGGCTGAAGAGGGTCGGCCTCGGGTGGGGGCAATGCAGCAGAACAAGCAAGAAGTAATGGGAGGGGGCACAAGAAATGTAGCAATTAGACTCTATGCCGAAGTTTGTGTAACAATATCAACAATTCAAAAATATTTACCTTTTCTTCATCTTCCGTCCAATGACACATTATTCACTCATTGAGTTCAATATTTGGCTGTGACATTTTATAGATTCAGCACACACATTAAATCATGGATGCAAAGATAATTATACATGTAGACACATGCATACATTACAAAAACAAATGCAAATATACTTATATTTTTAGATATCCACACTTATACATAAAGAATGGAATTGCTGGTAAAAAAAATCTATAGTTGATTTTGTAAATATTTTAACTATTTATGGCATCAAATGTTTTCTTGATTATACAAGCATAAAAATGCTAACAAAACCAACTCTAGCTGTTTGTGAATCAAATATTGATTATCTTCAAGAGTTACTCATTACATCTCAGACTAACGTTTTCCATCGACATAAAATGGAATGATTATATTGAATCATTTGCTAAATCAGCTGCAAGAAAAGCTGGTACACTGTGTCTTACTAGACAATTTTCCTCACCAGAATCTATTTTACAGCTTAATATGCCTAACCTTCATCTGTACATCGAATATTGCTGCCACCTCTGGTCTTCATATTGGTGCTTCTGCTATGTCATTAAAGATTTTTGACAAGATCCAAAGAATCTATAATATCAATGTTCCTGACCTGTCATCTCATCTTCAGTCACTATCCCACTGCCATAACATAGCTTGTCTGTATCTTTTCTATAAATATTTTCAGGGTGATTATTTTGCTGTACAAGAAAGTACATAGAGACAATGAAGTATTATGGTGGATGTAATAAGAAAGGTAAGTAAGACTGTGTTGTTTTGGTGTTAGGAATATTGTAGTATGTTTGGGTCAGTGTTTGTGGTTAGCTAAGTTTAACGTTAAGACAGAACAAGACTGTCCTTTTCTCTATTCTCCCCTTTTGGCCTTGTGCCACATTTTGTATAACCATGCAAATAAATATCACTTTCCTCTTTGGTACCTCAACGTTATGTACTAGATTGGTAGCTAGGTCTCATCATTTTACAGCTGATTTTGTTAGGCTGTAACCATGTTACAATCTATCAAATTATTGCAACAGGTAATGCCTGATCCGCCATTGTTAATATAAAATGACCGCAACTTGATACTGATGTTTATTTTGGTGCTGATTTCTGGTGTGTTCTAGATTGAAACCTTACATTGTTCATTTATAAGTTGAATATTGACATTTTGTCCACAAATGAATGCCTTAAAAATGGTGGGTGAAAAGTTACACTTTTGGCATGAATTTTGGAAAGGAGTAAGCATCAGAACTATGACAAAAACTCTTAGAAGTTTTATATGGATCATGCTGCAGCTTTTCAGATAGTCAAAAAGTGGTCTTGGCAGATTTAGTCATGACAATTTTAACCTAAACGATCAACCACAATCCGAGTAACATTACAACAATGATGAAAACACTCTGCTTGCAACTGTGGAAAATAAACCGAAAATTTTGAAAGAAGAGAATTCTAAAATCGATGTCTCAAATGCCTTTCACCATTTGGAGAGACTTGGATAAAAAAAATAGCCAAATTTGGAAAATTGAAATGGTGTCATTTTCCACCATGACAACACAAGACCACATGTTGCAAAACAGACTTTGCAGAAAAGTTAAAGAGTTGAAATACCCTCAAGTATCTACTATATTCTCTTGACTTTAGCTCTTTTGGATTTTCATTTGTTCCAGTCTCTACAGAACAATTTGGATGACAAAAATATACCGGTCAGTTGAAAACTCCCTCACAACCCACTTCCACCCATAAAAAAAGACATTTCTATGAAAATGGCATCAGCAACGATGGGAGCAATGATGGGAGACAGTTTTGCTAAAAACAATGGAGATTATGTATTTGATTAATAAATGTTTTTTTGGGTGTATATAAAACTTTTTAAAATTTTATAATCAGACACAACCATTTGCAATGATCTAATAATATGCTAACAGTTTCTTCTCTTGTACTTCTCACTTGTGAAATTCTCTCCTGGCTTCTTGCTTTCCAATCAACTTTGATCTTCAAATGTTTAAATGCAATTATCATCATCTGTCTTTTTAATTTCTGTTCTTGAATTATCCTTTTTGATTAATAATGTTTTTTCTCAGATGTTTCACACTCAGTAACCTCTTGCATCTTAGTGGCTTTATAGCATTGTTTGGGGTGAAATTGTTTTTGAGTTAATTTGACTTGTCTATTTTCTTTAAATTATGTGTTAAACAAAGTTTTTTTTACACAAATCTAGTTACATATATGTGTGTTTATGCGTGTGTGTATTTTGCATGTATGCTATATGTATGTGCATGATTATTTAAAATTGATTGTGTAATGAGAAAACTACTCCACTTTCTTTGCCAACATTATGTGGCAATTCACAAATAATAAAGAAAAAGAATCTGAAGAAACAGAAAATTAAGTTTAAATTTCTGTTGTATATTCTGTTCATATTATTTTTGCCCTATTGTTCTCACCGAGGAAAGGTATGAAATCAAAAATCCCTGTGATCAATTCTATCATTGGCCACCGTACAAATATTGCCAATGCTAGAAAAGATCCATTTAGAATATATAAGAGAAGTATTTGGCAATCCACTCTCAAAGACAACCTTAACATAACACTTGTTATATGGCATTGTTAATGATATGTCCCAGATAGCAAAGTGGTTTTGGACAACTGTAACCGGGTAGGACAATCTAGCAGGTAACCGTAATGGACCAATCCTCATCGTAGTGGTAGGCCATAGGTGTCGTCAATAGGCAACGTCCTGTACCTCCACATCAGTCTGTATTTATGGCTGACACCAGCCAATCATATTACTGTGAGGGGGAACCCAGGTGTATGCATATTCATTACATATAGTTAACAATGAATATAGTAAGTGTTAGGCTATGACCAGTCATGAATATATTTATGGATGCTTTAAAAATAGAAAGTATTAACAAAAATTAATGTTGAGTTGAAATTATTTTTGAATTGTCAATGTTTATCAGCAAATAAAACATTAGGTAACTTATCGAGTATTATTAATTTTTTTCATTTTCAAAGGTTGAGGGCCAGGAAGTAGCAGATAGGCATCAAAAAGTTTAAATTCTACTTGAGACTGCTTGCATCATTTTCACAGAAGCATGAATCCAAATTACTATATTATATTCCTCATCTTGATCATAGTCAGACTCCTAAGACACACTTACAATGGATAAAGAAAAGTGAATCGGCCAATGAACAATCAAATACTCATACATATACATGCATCCCTTATATACATGCACACACACACACACACACACACACACACACACACACACACACACACATATATATACACACATATACACATATATACACACATATACATTGTGAATTTCTTTTCATTTTTCATTTCAACTTTTGGAAGTAAAAAGTCTGATGATCCAGAACCCTGTTAAAGGGGTTATGGTGAAATAGCTTATTACATGGAATCTTAACGTCATCTGTTTTTTATTCAAACATATCTGCTCTGAATTTTACATTGAGCTCTCTGGATATCATCCTCCTCGGGTCTACCCATACGGATTACCTAAGTTTGCATAAACTATATATATATATATATATATATATATATATATATATATATGACAAACTGGAAAGTTTTTTTTATGCGTTTCTTGTTTTTTCCTTTTCAGAAATCTAAAAGGAGGATGTCCCGTTTCTGAAAGTAATACTCTCCAAACTTCTTGCAATGCAGTGAGATTATAGCAAGATACCCAGGATTTCAAGAATGCACTCATGCTAAACAATGGAGCTAAGAGAAATGCATCATAAAAAACCTTTACAGTTTATCATATTTTTCTAAATACTATTTGTTGACATACAAAAATTATACAAAATTATATATATATATATATATATATATATATATATATATATATATATATATATATATATATATATATATATTTAATTTAAAAGAGAATTCAAGTAAAAACATGAGACTGGTTCAATGGAAACAACCCCAAAATAATAGATCTCCTGTCAAAGAAGAGAAGTATACATTAAGCAATGCCTCTCCCAAATGTCGTGTCCACAAAAGAAAATTTATTTCTACAAAGTATGTCCCACACTTTAACATGACCTTCGATTCATGCAGAGCAAATAATGGGCAAACGTTGCTAAACAGCCAACCTTTTTGCTGATGTCGGCAGCTCGTGATTACCTTACCTAGCAGGGTGGAAAACCAGTACATAATACAGCCAGCTCAATGCTTCACATCGACAGATTTCATTTTAAATACCCTCTTTAGCACAAACCATGTAACACAGCCGTCTGCTATCAGCAGTATACAACAACAACCAAAAAAACTGGAACTGAATGAGGAGCCAAAACCACAACAAAACAGGGAATCACTCAAGCTTTAACAAATTTTTGCTACTTGATTGAATCCGGGGTTTCTTGTTTTTATTTTCTTTTTAGAGATCTAAAAGGAAGATGTCCCAGTTCTGAAAGTAATACTCTCCAAACTCCTTGCAATGCATTGAGATCATAGCAAAATACCCAGGACTTCAAGAACTCACTCATGCTAAACAAAGGAGCTAAGTTTTACTATTTCAAACTACTGGTGAATTATTCTGCTTTCAAACAAATGCGAAATCTTACAAGAAT